ATTCCAGAGGATACAAAACAGAGGATTTAAATTAGAAGAAGGCACATTTCTATTGAACATAAGGGCGGAAATAATTAAAAACACCAAAGTCCCTTCCAATTCGGGAGGCTGAATACCACCTCTGATGTCAATGTCACCAGTGGCTCTACAGGCCTTCAAGGCCATGGAAAGTTCCTCAGGAAACACCCAATGTCCCTAGGATGACACCCAATGTCTCTAGGATGACTTCCTGGGGGGGGGGAGGGCGGATGACGATTTCTGCACTTCTTTCTATTATTTAAAGTGTGTCAGCTTGTCTAGGTGAAGTATACCAGTGCTTCTGCGTGGAGAAGTGGACAAGCATATAAATATGAGTGTCAAAATATGTTCAAGGTTCCCTCTTGCTAAAGAGGATTGTTTTGTTCAGCTGAATAAACACATAAATACCACTTATCAAGGTAAGCACCTGGATTCTGTCTTTCTTTATACCAAGTCACCCCTGAAACCAGCAAAACAAACACCTTGCTCAGGCAGGAGACCCTATACAATTCTGGACAAAGGGCTGTCGAATCTCTTTTAGAGACGCTCCAGTGATGGAGCACTCACAACTTCTGGAGGCAACCCATTACATTGATTCATTGTTCTCACTGTCATAAAGTTTCTCCTTAGTTCTAGGTGGTTCTCTCCTTGATGAGTTTCCATCCTTTGTTTCCTGCTTGCTCTCAGGTGCCTTGGAGAGTAGATTGACTTCTTCTCTGTGACAGTCTCTCAAATATTGAAAGTCTGCCATCCTGTTTTCCCTAGTCCTTCCCTTCGTTAGACTAGACCAGTGATGGTTAACATTTTTTGTTTTTTGCCAGCACGCACCCATAATGCAATGCATGCATGACCCCCGTTTCCCCGCCTGCATGCACCCTGCCCCTTGCGCATGACCTCTGCACGTGCACCCGCCCCCCCCGGGCATCAGAGACCCAAAAACCAGCTGGCTGGCAGGAGGCGTGCACACAGAAAGGGATCAGTGAGCCACCTGTGCCACGCATGCTATAGGTTCGCCATCACGGGACTAGACATTCCCAATTCCTGTAACTGTTCTTCAACATTTCATCTTCCAGTCTCCTAATCATCTTTGTTGTTCTTCTCTATACTCCCCCCCCCCCCTTCAAGGTCTCAACATTATTTTTTTGTATCATGGTGACCAAAATTGAATCAACTGGCTTCATTTTGGGGGGGGGGGGGAATGCAACGGTTCAGATCAATTTGCGCCACTGAAAACTCTTCCGACTCCTGAAGGCTGTCACTAACCACATGAATTCGGCAGCGGCCTGTGGGTCTGTTTGCAAGGCTGGTGAGAACAAGAGGTTTGCTTACCCCCATCAGGACCAATGCTTCGGCTTTGGCTTCTTCTGTTTGAGGAAGATGAAGATTCATCTCATCGCCATCAAAATCTGCGTTGTATGGTGTGCAAACGCATTCATTGAACCGGAAAGTCCGGTGTGGTTTTACTTTAGCCTGAAACACAACATCAATCCAAGGTAAGAAAGAGAACAAATGCTCAAGGATTTTATTTATTTATTTATTTAAAATGTTTTTTATTAAACAGGTTTTTTCCCATTTTTTAAACACAAATATCATTTTTGCAACATTTCCACATTGGTAAGCCTCCATTATACTCTTTTTATCCATACATGTATACCTTTATATATCTATATCTATTTACACATTTTTCATACACTAATATGATCATTTCTATTTCTTCTATACATATTACTCTTTGAACGTATTTATTTCTATACATCTTAATATCATTCTATATACATATATTCCTCTTATAAATATTATTCTGTACTATTTTATATACAATATATCTTACATTCCCCCCTTATTAATTATGCAGTTTTATGATTGTTTTCTAATTTCTTAATTTTTTTTCCTTTAATGCTTTCTTATTCTTTGCATCTTTCCTCTAGCCATTTGCACCATAAATTCCATACTAAGTAATACTCAGATTCTCCTTTGTCTTTTATTTCTTTTGCAAGTCTGTCCATTTCAGCACATTCTAATACTTTTTAAATCACATTTTCTCGATGATTTTAAATACGCCAATATGCTAATAACGGGATGCTTCTGTCCTATGGCTTTGAATAGGGCTGTTTTAACAACAACAACAACAACAACAAAAAGGACATATTTGCTTTGGAATACAGTAACACACAATGGTTCAGTGAATCCATTTTCCCCATTGACGTTGCTTGTCAGAAGGTCACAAAAGGGGATCGTGTGACTCCAGGACCCTGCAACAGTCCTAAGTATATGCCAGTTGCCAAGCATCCAAATTTTGATCACATGACCATGGGGATGCTGCAACATTCATAAGTGTAAAAGCTGTCATAAATCACTTTTTCCCAGCACTTTGCAACCAGTGGGAGGGGCCATTAAATGAATTAAGTGAATGGCTGTTAAGTCAAGAACTACCATTAAATGAATGGCTGTTAAGTCAAGAACTACCAGCATATACTTGTTAGAATCTTAGTTTTTTCCTTGGCAAATATCTACGGAGATTCTCCGTCATCCAGGTCATGGTTGTCCCAAAGGTGCATTTTCAAGAGGCAGTTGGACTTTCTTTGCTTTCCCTGGAAGACGTTTTGCTTCTCATCCAAGAAGCTTCTTCAGCTCTCAGAGATGAAAGGCGAAACATCTTCAAAGAAAAACCAGGAAGTCCAGTTGTCTTTAAAAAAAGCATCTTTGGGTTTTCCTTCGCAACTTAGGTTTGGTTCTACTTTCTACAGAAACTAGGGAATAGTTAGCTATTTATCACAGAATAACAGAGTTGGAAGGGGCCTTGGAGATCTTCTAGTCCACCATGCCCTGCTCAGGAAGGAAGCCCTTGTAGCCCATCCCTCTCCAAGAAGACAAAATATTTTAGGAAATATTAAAAAGGGCAGAATATTTCCCATAAAAGGCAGAAACTCACCATCCCCTAGAGTCGGAAACGACTAGCACATATGTGCGAGGGGAACCTTTACCTTTTCCAATAGCAATAGCACTTAGACTTATATACTGCTTCATAGTGCTTTACCGCCTCACTAAATGGTTTACAGAGTCAGTATATCTCCCCCAACAATCTGGGTCTTCATTTTACCCTCCTCGGAAAGATGGAAGGCTGATTCCACGAAAGACCATGAAACAATGAGAAACCTTACGTAGATTTGCCCTTACTATATGAGCCATGATGCTGAGCTTGTGCAAAGAGGGCTGGCGGTTAAACAAGACTATGTCTCCATCGATCAGGTGCCTCTCTACAATGTCTCCATACTTCAGTTCCTGTGCCATCCTCTCCCGATTTCCGTATTTCAAAAACCTAAGCAGGGGGCAGGAAGAGAGAAAGGAAATACAGAATGCGATTCAATCTTGCCCTTAAATATTATTTTTTGTTTCTAAGTTTTTTGTTTTTTTTAATAAATGTATCAAATCAATATGTGAACAGTGTGATGTGGGTGTCATACATTCTCATACAAATAAAACTAAAAAAATTAATCATAATTATTACATTCAATCAACTTATATATTTCTAGTAAACAATACACATTTGTCTTAGATTGCAATCTATCATTGTTCAGTTATTCGGTTCCACCACAAAACCACGGACGACAAAATCGCGCTCGACGAAAGCGCGCATTTGACGTCATCACAGCGCGACGAAAACATCGCG